GAGGAGAGCAAGTGTCTTGGTGTCACTGTTGCTTTGTGCAAATTACAAAGAGGCCACTGACGGGGTCACTGGGTTTTCTCCTGCACTGGATGTTGTGCTGCATTATGAACTGTTGAGGAAACTACCAGTGGAGAAATTCTGTCTCTGTTCCTTTTTCTACAATCCTCTTTAAGTCCATGGGGACCTACGAATCTGAAAATGACTTGATGTTTTTTAGTTTGCTGGCACATTTTCATTTCCACTGCAGCTTCTGGGAATAAGTCTCTGTTTTTCACCAGTAACTGCTTCTTTTTTCTTTTGTATTTAAGTGGATTTTTCTGAGGTTTTTTTTTATGAACAACTAAGTTTTTCTTTTGCTTCTTTTTTCGTGGAGAGCAAAATAATAAAAAACAAAAAAGAAACTGTACTAGTGAGCACTCTTGGTCTATGATATTCTTCTATCCAACACTCTTCTATTGTAACTCTCCTTCATTCTTCCTCTTTTCCAGCGTCTCTCTTTTTCTCATCTTCTCCCTGCTCTGCTGCTGTGATTGCCTGTCTCCTCGTGGCCCGGTGCCCAGCCACCACTGGGTAGCATTCCTCACCCCGAGCCAGCGGGAAGAGAGGGATCGAAGGAGGGGAGGGGGGCGGAGAGAGAAGAGGAGAAGGACAAATGGAAGGAATGAGAGAAGGAACCGCAGCGAGGTCTCCTTATATAGAGAGTGATGTTATATATCTGTGACCTCGCTGAGGAGGCGAGGAGGCGATTCCTTCTCCAAAACTGTTTGTCATTTCCAGCGTTTTTCACGGTGCCCACTGGTCATAAACCTTCCTTTTCAGCCTTTCTGTTTATAGCCACATCCACTCGCTCTCACTCAGGCCGCAAGATACCCACACGGTCCGACCACGCGGGGGTCTGCTAAAATACACACGGCGTTCAGATGCACACGGCCTCGCTTTCTTTTCCCGTCACAGTGAGGTGTGTGTGTGTGTGGGGGGGGGGTATCTCAAAGGTAACACACGATGCCTGCACCGCTGCTGCCGAGGTGCAGAAATAAAGGATTTGCTGAGGAAGCAGAATGGACCCCACCCTGCCCTTCAGCTCCTATTTCTTCTGAGCGCTTTGGTTCATGTGTATGTATTTGACTTGTGATACTTGTAGGAGCATGAGTGCACAGATACAGAGGATTTTGTGTGTTAGTGTGTGTGTGTGTGTGAGTGTGAGTGTGTTGGTGTGTGGCATCTCCTCTAGGAACTGCTGGCAGATGGAGCAGTCAGACTGTGGGTATAGAGACGGGTAAAGTTTGGCTCGGCCTGCAACTCAAGCCGCACTGGAACAGAAGAGCCACGCATACAGTCCTTTCTCTTTCATTTCTCTCTCTGTCTTTCTCTCTTTCTTTTTGCAGTTTTCTTTACTGGTTTAACTCAATATACATTTTCGGTACCACTTTACAGTAAGACTCCTCTTATAATGGATTTATGAATGGTTTATAACTATTAATTATCTTCCTAACACTTTATGAATCATTTATAAGCTGTTATAACACATTAGATTAAAGAGGGCAACAGTGACCTGTTGCTTGCCAAATAGTGAGCCCACATGTATCTGTACTGTTAAGCCTCATATCTCATTGGTTACTGTGCTCTTTGTTTTCTCCATCATCCAGTGTTTGCACCTGCTGCTTCATCACATATTTGTTAAGATACTAGCAATTAACCACCGTCAACATATTAATTTTCAAAAAGTTTGGCATATTAATAAATGAATAAATCTCTATTACCAGTTATAAAAATTAGTAACTTGTCATTAACTTTATCTTGCCTGCATCAATGTAAGAAAACTGTGTTAATAACTGTTTATTTGTGACTTAGAAAGTGTTAACAACCGAATTAATAACCTAATTATAAACCGTTTCTAAATCCTTTATAAGGGGCGTCTCATTGCAAAGTGGTACCAAATATTCTTGTGTCAACACACTAATGTGTTTGTCGGGATGCTGCGTGAAAAAGGAGCACCAAGCTTGAAATTCATTGCAATTCAGAGCACTGGCCTCTCCCCGCCATTAAGTGCCTGCATTTGTGCACATACTAACCATAATAAATTCTAATCAAAAGAGTAAGTCAATAAAAATAAAAGATTATGCTTGCACCACAATCGTATAAACAATATAACAATATAAACACAAGCAGGTTTTCAAATTGGTGAGATGCTGAGGGATTGAAAACACGTGATGTATTTTTTCGAACATCACGATCTATCATTGGTTCTTCGTTCATACACTTTTATATTTGGGTCATGTTCATATTTGATTTTTTAATCAAAAGCATCTCCTGTAGACAATGCTCCACTCTAACATGGCCTAAGTGACGCAAGCTGTTTTGCTGCAGCTTGTGTCTGAAACGAATAAGAGGACTGTGAGTGATTTGGTGGGTTATGAAAGCATGGCTGTAACGTTTCTTATATCCCTCTTAAAACAGCAGTTATACATTCATTAGCAGCAGCCTAAAGGTCAAGTGAGGTGGGTTTATGACCTGAGAGTTGCCAGTTAAAATCCCTCGACGGACTGCAGGGGAGTCTGGGAGTGAACACACCACCCTCCCATGGCTCGGTCTCAAGTGCTTGTGACCAAAACCCTGCAATTGTCCCAGTGGAGCTGTTCAGTCGAAGAGTGTGGTTTCACTGAGCAGCTGCGTGTCCCTCAGCTAAAATAAATGAGGAGAAAATAGGGGATTGAGGGACTGAAAAACCAAGAGCGAAGGTTTAGTTTGTGCAAGCGCGCTAACAAGTTAATCATTTTCTTTCTCAGGGAGAATGGAGACGTCGGGAGGTTTTATCCACAGAAGCTTTTTCGTACAATTAAATAATGCAAACTGTGGTGAATGCACGCAAGCGCAGGTCTAATTCTTTCCCCTCTTTGAGCTACTGAGGACAAACACACAATGTCTTCATTTGAACAGTTTGAGACTCGTTTCCATCTTCACTTTGGCAGCTCATTAAAGGCCTGTGTCCATTTCCCGCAGAAGCCAAGAGTCTGATGGAAACCGAGCCCAGTGAGAGATCATCAGTTAGCAATTCACAAGCCTTTTACATGAGTTTGGAAAGACACTGAACTAGTCTAACCAAAGATATCTGGAAGTATTTACAAAGTTGCATAATTAGATCAGTGGCTTAAGGCTGCAGTGGAAAATATTCGCAGCACATTGTAATGACAGAGAAAGAGGAGAAGAAACGTCTGGACGAGCGCTCACAAAACATGGGCACATATTACACCACAACCAGCTAATACCACACATTTTAAAACAATTAAGAGAACGGAGGGGCGTTTTATATTCCCATCGGTGTTTTCCCCCACAGGCCTCCTTCAGCAAATGATTAATTTAAGAGTCCAGGAATGTGCATTCACTGTTTAGTCTTCAGCTTCCCTGGGTTGTAACCCCTGACCCAACCAGATCACCAGGACACCTCTGACAACCATCAGACATCGGCTTATCTAAACTACAGAGGATACAAGCACCGGGACCCGCCTCCTCATTATTCAAACTCCCTCCATCCTCTCACCCCGTCACAAAATCAGACTACGCCGAAAAGGAGACTTCTTTTCCGTCAGTGCAGACTCAAACAGGCTGGACAGGCATTTCCTGTGGGTGGGACCTGAGAGCAGAGACATTCTTGGGCCAGGCACCTCCACTTCCTGTCTCTGTTAACATACTGAAAGACACAGTGTCTGGACCCGCTCTCACTTTACACTTCACTCTACACTCTTATCCACCATGCTTGCAGCAGCAGATTAAAGTTCAAATTCAAAGATGACTAATGTTGCGTGTAAACAAAAGAGTAAGAAGGGCAAGGTTAAAGTCTTAGTACTCAGATAATGTAAGGAACAAAACGTTACTGTTAACCTGATCCCACCCCCCCCCCCCCCCCCTTTCTTTTTTTTTTTACTGTTACTACTGTCAGTTCAATCTTCTATGTGAGATAAACACATTTAATTGTGGCAAAGGTTTAAGAACATTAGAGCATTGAACTCAAGGAAACACGATCAAACTTGTGTGTGGATGTGTATAATGAGTATAATGAGTCACAGTGCTGCCATGGAGTCAACACATAAACAGCTCATAACCCCTAACCCCCCCTTTTTCTCTTTGTCTCTGCCGTCGTTGACATCCTCAAGCCTCAGTCTCAAGTTAAAAAAAAAGCTGTAGGTTTTCAGGTCTTAATGTCAGGGATTGGTTTTCCTCTGTGTGCCTGTGTGTGTGTGTGTGTGTGTTTGTGTACACGCATGTTTATGTGCACCATGGGGTGTTAGAGTAGGTGTGACAATCAATTGCTGTTCTCCCAGGGGTCAACAGCTGCACCAAAGTGTTGGTATTCGACAGCTGGACCAATTTGTAGAGGAATGTGAGCACTCACTATGGATGAGGGTGGCGTGCGTGTGTGTGTGTGTGTGTGTGTGTGTGAGTGTGTGTGTGTGTGTGTGTGTGGGGGGGGGGTGTAAGGGCTCGTTATCACTCTATATGGACATATGATAATTGTCTATTAGATACAGATGTACATGTGACGACAGCATCATTTCCAAGCTCATGAAATAGTCCCATTTGAGAGATTTCACATTCTCATCATATCCTGGTGACATTACAGGTGAAAACATGCATCATTTCATAATATATCCCATAAACATGATGCATATATATATATATAATATATATAAGTAATATATTGTGTCCATTGTATTTTACCTGTGTTCTGCAAATAATCACATATTACCAGATCAGATGAGGAAATTAAAGTCACTAATAACTATATCAGGTTTTATTAATCAAAATCTGCACCATTACAAAAGTGACAGTCCAATGAAAATGTGAATGCAAGTTGTGTTTTTGTACATGTTTCACCTCTGCCTGCGTGCGTCGTCCCTTTCACACCAAAAGCAGTGAGGGGCTCGCGTCAGGTTTGTGTTGCATGTGTGTGATGGTGCTGCCCTCTAAAGGCTGAACGACACAACTCCCCACAGCTCAAAATCTGTCAACAACACATTTATTCAACTAGAGTTCAGTCAGAGATGAAGCACATGTCTTGTTGAAACTTGTCAGATTGTGATTAACAACTGAAAAAATTCGGAGCATGTTTACGGAGAATCGGCCTCCACCACTCATCCTCTTTGGTCCTCGAGAAAAGCTTCAGTCCTCTTTAACACACCTGAGATGTGTCTTTGCAGGGTTCGCTTTAGCGGTGCTAACTCGTTAGTGAGTGCATTTTCTATTCTGTCTCACAGAGGGAATAGAGGAGTTCAATCTGCTCAGCATACTCGAATCCTGGCCTGTGGGGGAAAAAAAGGACATAACAGTCGTGTTACAATGACAATCTTGACAATCTTACCAAACTTTCATTGACTACATCAAATGGTGATAGTAGATAGCAGTTATCTTACCGCCCAGGTGTCTCCAGGATCAGAGGGATGTTGTCTAGCCTGGGCTCGTTAACAATGTCTCTGAAAGCAGAGATTCCAATGTGACCTTTACCGACGTCCTCGTGGCGATCGAGGTTGCAGCCCAGTTTACCTGCATATCACGATATGGAAACAACAAAGACAGGGTTTATCAACCGACATGCAAGAGGTTAGCGTTCAGAAAAACAACAAATACTATTATTTTCCTGGCTGCACCTTTGGAGTCATTGAGATGAATGGCTTTGAGATAGTGGAGCCCCACTTCCTCGTCAAACTCATTGAGCATGGCCTTCACTCCTCCCTCTGCAGCCAGGTTATATCCTGCCAAGACAAGAAGAAGAGAAGAAGAAAACAACAGGAGGCCGATTTGGAAGATCCCCATTGGCCAAATCAAAAGCAGCCATGTTTTATGTTTGGATATCAAACAGATTTTTAGGTTTATGTCAGTTTTCCCTTGTACACTTAAATGCACATAGACTGATGGACTGTGTTAACTTTGGTGGGAATGCTGCTGCACACCAGCCTGTTGATAGGGACTAACCGTCTTCTTCTGACTTTGCCGGACAAAAAAAAGGTCAATCTCCGGTTTCACTTACCTGCTGCGAATGCATGGCAGGTATCCAGACACACTCCAACTCTGGTCTGGTCTCTCACTTTGTCTATGATGCTCTTCAGCTCAGAGAACTGACCACCCACCGTGCTGCCCTGTCCGCTCATGTTCTCCAACACTGAATCCGAGGAGGGCAAAAGAAAAGAAGGCGGCATCAATTTGACACCTACATTTAAATAAGTCATGTGTCCCTCGTCCTGCTACAACACCTGATACGCATACGAGATTGATTTGGCTGCTGTTTGCGGCTGAAGCACAGCCTGAGGGCACTGTTTGCTACTGCTTCAGTGTTTTTGCAGGCATTCCACTGCAGTGTATTCTTGTCACACCAGTGGCATTTGGGGTATGTGAATCAAAAAGACTGTGGTTGGTGCCATGAATCACAAGTGATGCACAGCAGCGGTGTCAAGCCTGCAGCAGTTCTGCAAAGTTATGTGTTAATGCGAAGGTCAATCTGAGGTGAAATGGTTTCATATGAGATGGTGATGATTGCTGATTGATAGATGTTAAATAATTGACTTCTGACAGTAAAACATTAATCCTCCTGAGGAGGTTCAAAACATATTAAAGGCTAAATTAATTTATTACATGCGAAGGAATTTAACCCACTAACTAATTCTGTGTGCATTGAGATTCAAACGCTCAATAAAACATTGCCTTGCAGTAACTTCCTATTTCTGTGAAGCTTTCAGTGTTTGACAAGATCATCAAAACGCTGATATTTTTTTAGGTTGTAGTTTGAAGTGTTGTAGGGAAAATATCCCATTTAAGTGTCTGTGAGTCAGTGCTAGTGAGGTTTCTGTTCCTCTTTGCTAATGCAGTTTTCCTGTGTTTACCATGTATCATTGCTGTTTTATTTTTTTCACACTTTTTTCTCCCTTGCCACATTACATAATTTTGCAGTGTCTGCAACTGCCACATCAGCAACACTGACTATCTGACCTCATTCTCATCTTCTAAGTTCCTGTCTTTATTGAAAAATCTTTTTTTATAATAGTGATCTTTGTTAAAGTTAACATGCTGCTAATTCAACTGAACATGAATTTCCCCTTGGGGATAAATAAAGTGCCTATCTATCTATCTATCTATCTATCTATCTATCTATCTATCTATCTATCTATCTATCTATCTATCTATCTATGTCCTGTTGGAGTAGCTGGCTTTGTAATTATGTTTTACAGTAATTCCACCATGAATTGCAGATGCATCAGTCACAAATAAAACTAAATTATGTAGCACAGCACAAGAAAAGTCTCAAAGATATCACAAAAAAACAACAGTAAAAAGGAACAGCAGTCACAGGTTGACCTTCATCATCACGGGACCAAATACATTTAAAGAGATGTATGTTTTTAACAGGAAGGAAAAATAACCCTTGAGCTGTATCAACAGCTCTGACAGCCAACAACTTCCAGGTGTTATATTTACTGCGCTGATACTTCGTAGTACTCTGTGTTTTTGTTATATTGTCCACCCCCTGTACCTGTAACCACAGCAGGTGTTTGCTGGTGAGCGTGGTTAATGGCGCCCGCTATCTTCTCCACACACTGCTCAGTGGTGATGGAGCCCAGCGAGGAGCCGGGGTGGAAGTTGTACAGGTTGAGGCCAAGGACGCTGCAGCGGCTGAGCTCATCCACCAGCAGGGCCTGGCTCTTCTCAAACACCTCTGGGTGCAACACGTTACACAAACCAGGAGGAGGTTGTCAGAAGAGAAGGGGGAGACACAGTTGGAAAGAGCAAATAACCGACACAAGACGCAATCCATCAGTGCATGACAAACCTTCTTTAGGAGACCCACAGTTCATCAGGTAGGACCCATGAGGCAGGACGTGAGCCGGGTCAAACCCCTGCAGGGACAGTTGCTCCCGAAACTTGGCAGCAGCTGTGAGGTCCAGTGCGGGCCTCTTCCATGATCGCTGGGAGCCCAGAAACAGGGCGAAACTACTGCCACCCATCTCTGTGCAGGACCCCACTGCTTTCCATATTCCACCTGGAGACACATAAAATAGGAGTGAGTGAATGTGTGTCTTTTCATTACCTCTGGAGGTGACATTAGACCTTACCTTGAATGCCAACATGAGCTCCAATGTATTTCTTATTTTTTCCACGGTCCTTCCTCCTCCTGTCTCCTCTCTCATCAGCCTCCTTCTCCTCTGTGTCCTCTCTTTCCTTCTCTTCTGCCAAAGCTTCTTCAGTTTTCCTCTTCCTTGCTCCTCTCTTTCTCGGCCCCATGCTATCAGGTTAAAGTTATGAGCAGCGTTTATGGATTAGCAAACCGCTGCAAGGTGCTGACTTTTGTTTTCTGTTTATGACTTCAGTGGCTATTTTAAAAGGTATGTTTGGGTGGACTGTTGACCTACGTAGCATATATGGTCGTGCTAAGTTTGACAGTCAAAAGTTTATGAAGGTCAAAAAGAGTCTTTTATGCATCCCTCTCGGTAGGATTCAGCCAGTCAGAGAGCTTCCACGCAGCTGCCACAGCCTAGCCATTGGAGACGCTTCATACTGAGCAGCAAAATGGCCGCCCGTCAACCGACTGACTCCACAGCGCTTTGAAATTTAAATTCTTCTGCACATTAGGGTTTACACTATTACAACGTTAGTACTTATTTACAAACCAGTAGCTTATTACGCGTGTATTTTCATCATCTGCCACTTACTTGACTATCCGCTCAGGCGTCGCTGTTCTTGTAGCCTCGACGAATGCCTCAAAAAGCTAAAAAAAAAAATCGCACTGAAGCACTTTAGCTAAGCTAGCTAGCTAGCACGCTAGCTTTTCTTCATATGTGATTCTTGAGGTGAGTAGCTGGATATGTGTAACATTTCTAAGCATTTTACCGTGCCATCGTTCGTATGCATGCGAAATGACTGCAACAGATTTTGTTAACGAAATACAATGCCGCTGCCGTTAGCCCGGCTACTTGTAGCCGCTGTCAGTAAGTAACTTAGCTTACCGAGCTAGCTAACATCCGATAGCATTAGCACTGATGTAGCAGTATTTGTGGCTGTGCATTAGCAGAGCTAGGTTTGTGGCTCCGGGCTCGGTGTATTTGCTGTTTAGGACCGTTGTGTAAACAGAACAGAGCAGTTATCAAACTCACGCAGGTTGGTATCGTTAACCTCAACTTGATAATGTATGCGCTGTTTTGTGTCTGCGTGTTTTTCAAATATGGGTAGAAACCACTCCTTAATGTTAGCCACCGACGAAATATTTCACCAGCGGTTGCTAACAAAATTGTCGCTTGTATAAACTTGTGAGGATTGGGGTGACGGTGGTTGGCTATTCCCGTTTATACATGATTCGGTTTAAGCGACCACCATAGTATCTTGGATTTTCACGAACGGTTTTACGACCTTTTGCTCAAGAAAACTCAGATCTTCAAATGCTGTAAGGTTAGCTAGCTAAAGGCTTTTGAGCTACTAGGGTAACATTAGCTGGTGTAGCTTCTATTAGTGATTTGAAGGGTAGCTGGTCAGAGCTGAATGCAGATCTGACAGCTCGTAATAATCAGTCTATCTTCATGGCTTTCTGATCTGCCAGGCTTGAAATCAGAAATGCTTCAGGTGGAATGTTGGTTTCGTTTTCCCTGATGCAAGGATTCCTTCCTCTTGGAAATGTTATGGGACTAAGGAAAAACGAAATCAACTAAAGACGGACACTACCAGGGCTCAGAAGTTCAGTGAGTTTATGCATTTTAAACCGTCTGTTCTCTTATAAGTTAATAAACAGACGAGTTATATTTCGACACGGTATTAGGAGCTTAAACGTCCTGTGGGGTTATATACTGCTGTCTTAGAGTCGTGCTTTCCTGGCTTCATTACAATTGAGTGACAACATTCTCTAAGCCAATTAGACTGTTAAGGCTTAGTTAAAAGAACAGTAAGTGCCTGCCAATCAACAGTAGTCATGGTTTTCTGAAGGAAAAAAAAATCCATAAATATCTTTGAAGCTTGTTACCCAACCCTAAAATAACAGCATCGTCTATTTATCAATATTGAGGCATCTGATCAAAAATATAATGTTAGTTGGTTTTGTTCATATCATTCCTTCTCTGTGGTCTTATATAGGGGATCCTAATGACAGTGCATTATTTGTTATTCTTCGATTGCACACGTTTCTTGTCTCATAGCTGTCAAAGTGCCTAACCCTGAAGATTTGCTCACACTCCCATCTTGCAAACAATTGAAGCACAAACATGGGTCTCAAACCTTCAGTGGTGGTTTCTTTGGCCACATGTATATTCAGTCACTCTGCCGACTAGATGAGTTGGCTGACTAAATCCAGCCTCTTGTAAACTGTCTAAGTAGGTTGAATCTACAAGTATGATCAGCTTACAGAATTCTGCATGCTTCTGATAGGGATAATTACTGTGCTTTTTTTTCCCACATGTCTAGCAGTATTCTTAGCTCTAGCACCTGATGGCTGAGTTATCCAATCAAGCATGTAGTCCACTGTTGCTGAAACACATGGATGAAGGCTCACATGGCCACGTAGCAGCTGTGATGTTGTCTTTTTGCCTTGATTTTAGCTGTAGTTTATCATTAACTATTAGTCTGTGAGCAGCCATTTACTTTACAGTTAAAAGACATACCTATACAAAGAAGCACGCAGTGATTTTTAAAATGGTGAATGTGTGGCAACATTTTGGCATGTCCCTTTTTTTTCTCTCTCTAGAAGAAAGGAGTATCAGGACTGGAGCAGTAGTTCATGGAAGACAAGAAAAGGAAAAAAGACGACAAAAGGAAAAGGGAAGCCTCTCAGAAGGTGAGCATGTTCCTCTTGTCAGCTGATTAGGTCTCCTCAGTAATACCTGGGTCAGCAATATAATCAAAATTAAATAGATTTTTGTGGGTTCAAATAATATGCCGGGTTGAATGGTAACTTAAATACATGCAGATTGGCCAGCCAACAATGTAACAGGCCCAAAGAAACACTGCTGCTTTTAAATGGCAAAAACAATTTGATTCTCAAGGGAACCTTATTTGGTTTAAATTTTTGTTATGTGGAATTGATGATTTGCATCTGCTTCCCACAATGACTCGCAAACTCATACATCTGGATTCAACACCATTGAACAAACATGTTGCAGCACAGTTTGATAACCACTGAGAATAAATCACATATTTTGTTTGGAGTACATTGTTGGCGGTAATTTTTCCGATTAGGTCTGCTGTTTCTTCTTATTTGGGGTCGTGTAGCTTTTGGGATGAGTTGAGATTATGCAGTTTTTATATTTTCCAACTTTAAGGCTGTATTTATGAGCATTTTTCATTTACAGCAAAAGAAAGAGGTCCAATGACTCTAATGTAAGAGCTTTTCTTGGATGTAAATATTAGTCCAACCACTGTAGAGGATCTGCAAAGGTAAATCCTGGTTGTGTTAATTGGAACAGGAAACTTAACTTGATGTGAAAAGATTCTACTTGTTAAAATTAATTTAGTTGTCCTTTTGATGTATTTAATTCACATCTATATTTTGTCCCATGTTGGGTGGTAATATGAGTACATGTCATGTTATGTACTCATAGCATTGTCACGTGTTATCTAAAGCTATCAAATAGTCATTGGTTGCATTGATTTATGTGGAAACCGCTTATAGCGATCATGGCGAACAACCACCTATATGGATCAAAAAGCTTGGGACAGAATCATTCCTATACAAAGGCTGTTTAAATAATTTGCTTAGGGTAATCAAGTAATCTGCTGACAGTGTTCATTTTGGGTCTTTTCATGAAGGACAACTTGTGGAAAAACATTTAAAACTGTTGTAGTCCACTACTGCAAGCTGTCATATGTTTAGGCTCTCTTCTAACTTATTGGTAAGAGGTTTTAATAACCTAACGACCACCCCTGTCTGCTTTTCCAAACATAAGTTCAGTGATGTGTGAGTTTGTGTATGTGCGCTTGCTGTGCGCTTTCGAGAGCCATGTGATAACCTCACTGCCGTGGCTCAGTGAGTTATTTTGCGTTTCTGTTCCTGGTCTGCTTTCGTTTTGGGACTACAGTGCGTAATTATCGTCCCTGTTCTCTCACAGCAGCAGGTATGTTACATGAGTAGAGTGTAATGCTTTCAGCCTGACCTGACTGGGCTTGGATCAGGAGAGAACCATAGTGCAGTTTATTTTATCTTTAAATCAGTAAATATTAAAGCTGTCCATTCGATTACTTAATATTAATGATAAAGAAACATTTAGTTATAATAATCATCTGCTTATAGTGCTCAGTTTGACATGGACAGACATGATCACTATAAGCGGTTTCCACAGTAGTTGTTTTTTGGGGAAGGCAATTCAGAAAGAAGCTTTGGACTAAAGGACTTTTCTTTCTTTTCTTTTCTTTTTTTTTTTTTACTAAATCAACATAATTTCCCTAACAAAACAAAAGTTTGCATTAAGCACAATTCTGAAAGAATTCATTAAACTGGCAGGAGTTTTAAGTTGCCTTGTTTTGATATTGTGAAATGGAACTAATGGGAAGAAGACCAAACATTAATGTTGGGATTACATCCGTCAGTGTTAGCAGAACATCGTCTAAGACATAGCAAGTCTCAACAACTACAAGATCCTGAATGTGAGGAATGATGTATTTATTATCCTAGCACACCTAGACACAGAGGATTTTTTTTTTCTTCATCTAACCACAGTCACAGTTTGATTCTTGTAAACCCCACGTTGGCTCCTGTCTTATACTTGCCTCTTTCTCAAATTATGTTGTTTCACAGAGGTTTGATATTTGAAATGAAATGTGTTTTTGTCCTCACTTTGACGCTTTTTAAAGAATGTTTCAGCAATTAATGTGTTTTTTTAATTTTCTTTTTATTTTAGGTTACAGAACAAAAAAACAAAGGTAAGCAGCACAGTCATGTATATGTGTATGTTTAGATATAGATGTGAGGTGTTTGCTATGTTCACCAAAGTTCATCTATCTCTCTTCTGAAAATTGATCTGTTGCTTTCAGTTTTATCACATTTGTCCATGTTTTAAAATGTATTTTTGTCTGTCTTTTGCAATATTTGCATACTGTAGTTTTGAATAACAAAAAGGCTTAGAGCAACATTCATGAACCCAAAACATCTGCATCAGGGAATTCTTTGTGGTATCTTCCTTTTCCTTATCTATTTCAAACCAAAAATATGTTCACATTTTCAGAAAATTAACTGTGCACTGTTCTCCAAAGATGACCTTGGTTAAACGATGCTTAACCCCCCCCCCCCCATTTCTCTTTCTGCCTTGCCCTTCCCTCAGTGCCAGACTTGACCAAGCCGGCGTCTACCCAGCCTCCTGCCACACAGAGCAGCTCTGCCTCCCCCAGCCCTGGACCCACCCCCTCTGCCTCCCCATCCCCAGCCACCTCAGGCCCTGGCAGTGCTGCCACCCCGTCACAGGGCGGCAACAATGCCAAGCGCCTGGCGGTGGCCAACGGACAGCCCACCTCCACCACCAGTTCTTCCTCCACCGCTGGCGGCCCCAGTGCTGCTGGAAACAGCAGTGCAAGTAGCGGAGGCGGAGCCCAGGCGTCTCAGCAGCAACCACGCTACATGCCGAGAGAAGTGCCGCCGCGATTCCGCTGCCAGCAGGACCATAAAGTGCTACTGAAGAGGGGTCAGCCGCCACTGTCCTCCATGCTGCTGGGAGGGGGAGGAGGAGGGGATGGCCCAAATGCAAACATGGCTGCTGTCTCAGGTAAGTGTTGGTAATGCTGTAGGTCAAATTTAGAGCAGACTGATTCCATTTGAAGTTTGTTTAGATCATTTCTTTTAACGTTTCTTCCTTTTGACCCTAAAGTCTCTCTCTTGTGGGAATTGCTTTTTCAGATTCTGGTGCGGCTGCCTCCTCATTGGCCCTCACCTCATCATCAGTTGCTGCTTCTACTACTACTTCTAATTATGCAAATTCCATGTGGGGGGCGAGCTCAGGCAGCCAGACCTCCTCTCAGGGCAGGGAGAAGGTGATTG